ATAGATGATGAACCGCGCTTTCGGTCGCACCAAAACTGTAGCAAGCATGGTTGTATAGACCATGAATGCGCCTTCCAAGAACATATGCAGTGTCCACTGTGTGCCATCGTACTCGTCCCAGCCGGTTGTCCACGTCTCTGTTTGCGCCCTGAACAGCGACTTGAAAGCCATCCACAGCGTAGGCTCCTGTCGGTGCCAACCCTGCCGTATCCACTGCGCATCGACGTGCTTCGTCATATGGTATGCGTTCGTATTCGCCATGAACCAGGTAACGATGGTCGCCGCCATGGTGGGGAGAATCAGCCTTCCTGAGCGCGCGAGCGCACTTCGTGCAATGCCGTGGAAGGCAGCATCGTGATTTCCCTGACGCGACTTGCTAATCGGCCCAATCGAATTGACGTATCCAGTTACGAGGAAGAAGAGGGCTACGGCGCTACGACCTCCGACGGCGAGGCGGAAGAAGGGGAGTTGGAAGAGGTGCGGCGCGGATTTTGCGTCTGCGGCGGGCTGGTGTAGCCATGGTACAAACGCAGTACATAGGTGACCGCATACGACCATAAAGGATGCTATGCCTCGGAGGCCCTATAGCACACTGTTAGCCCCAGTTACACGACTGTGCTTGTGACGGCGGGTACGACTTACATCTATCCAGTTGGCGTCGCGAGGAGGCATGGTGAGAAAATGTAGCGTGCAAGGCCAAAAGAAAGTCTACTATTCAAGGAAGGTGAGGATTTAAGAACTATAGTATGTGCTCAGGCGCATTGCCGTGGCTTCGAGACTTGCTGATGCGTGCCCAGGTGGCTTGGAAATTCCGCTGGTGCCGAATTCCGGGTACCAAGAAGGCGAAGAACAACGGCGCTCGCAATGATGGAACCGCTGCAGCAAAGATCAAAACGGACGGCAAAGAGGGGAGCAGAGGTCAAAAGGAAGTGTGAGTGTAAACCAGCGGTTTGGCCTTGAGAAGCCAATGCACCCTGGCCCTACCGGTGGGGGCTACATCTTTTCAGGAACGCGCACCCTGCAGTAGACGCGGCTCACTGGGCAGATGCTGGACAGTTGGATAATGCCAAGAGAGGCTATCGGGAAGGTCACTTTAGCACTCTCCTTTGGCACGCCATCAGTGGTTTGCGGGCGCGGCAAAAACCCCAGGTAATGCTTGAACTTGATGGCAAGACTCTACCACAGATCACCCCTGAGCCGCAATGAGGTTGGTGCTCATGTCGCGTGCCCGGGCAGATGAAGCATGGAGCATGATTATTGAGGGAAACGGCATCCCGCGCTAACAAGCTGCATCTGTGGCCTTTACAACTCCATCGCGTAGCGCTCTCCTGACGATGGTCCCTATATCTGGAACTCTCCGCTGGCGGATGTAACACAGCCATTGCAGCTGCACTTGGCCATGATCGTCCGGAACCGTTCCTTACTACAAGACCAAATTTAACGCATAGTTACGAACCACGAGGCGAACATTCAGCACTCCGCAAAGCCAACTACCCGCGTATCCGGATCACGATAGCGGTACCACTGCTCATCGGCGCATGGAGGCGTAAGCTAGTGCGACGCCTCGTAGAATCAAGCACACGGAAGAACGTTTCGTTGTCTTGGCGGGCTGACGTGGAGGGCCGCTTTAACCGAGACTGCAACCCCTGAGCCAAGTTAGGGGTCGCTGCAACGCATCGTCATTTGCCAGAGCGTCCGTCTCCGATAGAGTGCCGTTTCACACCTGAGCGGTAACAATGTCTTGCGTGTCTTGACAATCGCGCGGCAAACTTGCCAAGGCCTCACCGCGCATGCAGCTGGGTATACAGAAAGAACACGTCTTCTTACCCAGATGAATCTCTCCCTGTGTTCGCGCCCTTCTCGCGATAATCCGATTGCATTCTCGTAAAATTGCAGGGCTACTTGGAAGAACGTATTTCCACTGTCACGATAAGTCAACTAATCATGAGTCAAAATTTGAGATACGCCTTCGACGCCTCTGTCATTGCACTCCACCCGCCTTGCCCATCGTAGCGTGTGGCAACTGCTCGAAGCCGCCACCGAGGACCGCAGGCAGCGTGCTTGCCGTACCTGGCGCTATCCTCGCCCACGATACCCCAATCGAGAAGCCGGACGCGTGCTCAGGAGCGATGACATTGTCATTGGCCTGACACGAGTTGGTTAGCAAATATCGGCATGCATGGCTGTTTGCCGGATCGAAGAGCCTTACGTCAACAAGCAACCAATGTAGCTTCTCCTGCAGATACGTTCCAGCAACATTCTCATCCATACTGCGCAGTTTCCCCATGCGCATCCGGTCTTTCAGCGCTGCTGTCAATGCGACCACGCCATTGGTCTGCATCTCTGTCTTCTCCTGGCCAACGGCATTCTGGAAACCTGCATAACCAACGAACCCAGGCTCAGACATCCATTTTTGAGTATTCGCAGGTCCGGCGTTGATGTTCATATCTGCGTCCAAGAAGACGCGGACCTTGGAAACACATCCAGGCCCCATGTGTTGTGCGCGTATGACGGCGGAGTACTGGTACTGGACATCGCTGTTCTGCGGAACGGCGACATGCTGTTCGGCGCGTGCGGTCTCCCACGAGAACCGTGACGTTGCATTCCCCCCGTACAGTGCGTTCACTCTGCCAACCAGTGTGTCGGTTGCGGAGAGCCCGAGGAACTCAGGATACGTGGAGCCGAAGACTGTGTGGTCGCGAACAGAGGCTGAGGTCCAGAAATCGCCTGCTGTATTGCGATGAAATGGATAAAGAGCTGTCGACGTCAACGTCATCAAACATCGAGTAAGCGGTCCGGGATGCACTCACGTGTATTTTCGTCCGCTTCTGAGTACGGCGCAGTCGCAAACGTCGGCCAAGGGTTGACGTGGCTTTCGACGAAACTATCGGGATGAAGGTCTTGCCAGATGGCAAGCAATCGGTCGACGTTGCTGCAATAGTCAACACTCCACTAGAGTAGGTTGCGCGGTACTTACGTATGAAGCAACCAGAAGATGGGATCGAATGCAGAATACGCTGCATCATACATATGACCTCCACGGCCAATGGCATTATGCAAAGTATCATGCACCGACTCCAGGCTGTTCGGAATTGCGCCTTCGGTACTCATTTCCACCATGCTGTTACTGACGTCGAGATAATTTGCTTGCATGCCCAGCATCTGGTAAGTCTGCTGCATGAGGTTCACCCGATTGCTGTCCAGAGACTCCGCTACAAGGTCGTTCTGGGATTTCGCACTTACGGCCATACTAGCCGGGTATCTCTTTGTTGAATTCCAGAGTATCCACGGTACACTCTTGAAGTCGTCAACTGGCAAAGGATGGAAGTGGTATGCGTACAGCGGATTTGAAACATGTATTGTGGTCGTCGAATCCCCACTTGGAACCTCAATCTCGACCGTCTCCTGTTGTACGATCGCGGGGAAGGAGCTCGTGTCCTTGGGCGGTACGGCAGCGGCGTCCCAATACGGCATTCGGAAGGTGCTTAGGGCATTGTACATTCTCTCTTTCGCTTCTCCCACCGGAAACTCCGAGATTGCTTGTTGAGCATTGGAGTAGAGCAGTTCCTTTTCAGAGTCAGTGAATCGGATAATTCGCAAGTCCCCTTCCATACTTCTATGAGGCCGGGATAGGGTCTGTGCCAGGTCGGAAACAGGTTGTTGCCATGAGCACAGTAGCCGTTGCTTCCGTTCGGATGTTTGCCAACGTCATCCCATGGTATGTAAGGCCGGCCGTGTATACCTTGTGTCGGTTAGCGTGTCGCTATCTGGTTACATGTTGCATATGATAGTGACAGAGCTTACCTGCGATCTGATAGTAAGAGAACTTGTCGTATTGACCTATACTCTGCAGCCGCTGCAGTCCTAGCAGATAGACGTTCAACTGATCTTTGTCCCGCTCTAACTCTCGTATCTCTAATCGAGGATGTATAGTATCGACACCCAGTCCACGAACGCCAAGAATAGGATGTATTGAATTCGTTTGTCGTGCTTCAACACCCTTACTTGGTACAGCAGTTGGGTTCGCTGGGGCATACAACATGGAAACGCAAATAAACAACCAGAGCGCTCTGGCGAGCATTCTGGAAGCCACCAGATATTGGCTAAGGTAAGAAGCAAATCGAGTTGTCGAGAGCGCGGACACTTTTGCGAGAGAGCAGCATCAAGTTCTGGGGGATTTGAGACCGGCACAAGACGGGCCTCCGAAAATGGCACAACGAAAACAATTGTGAGCTGATCCTACATTGACAGTATAAACGTTGCACGCGCTGCTCATCAGCTTATTCTCTATCGTGCATATGTAGCTAAGCGCGATATGCTTACACTGGTGATCAAGCCTGTGTAGTACTCGACGCGTAAGGACTAAGTCGCAGCGAAACGGCTGACTGGTACAGGGTCAAGAAGCACGCAAAGTGCTAAACATAGTATGTAATCTCGTGGATTGAATACTAGTACAGGGCAGTTTATAATAACACAAGCTCGGTGTGGGAATGAGAACGCACCGCATTGATGTGTCAAAATATTGGGCGTTCACTCATCTTGTTTTTTGTACACGGCATATATGGCAAGCGGCTTCGCGATTAGAATCTCTGCAATATGCTCGCAACTGGATAGCCAAACCAGACCTATCTACCTAGTTTGTTGATGCGCCGTTAAATGGCGGCGGGTTAGCTGTACACGACGCTAGTCGTGACCTCAACACCGCCATGTTGCGACACATTGCTGACGACCCAGACCACATTGGCCAAACACAACGTTGCACCTTCCTATTCAAGTTTCGGTGTGGCTTCAGCCATAAACTGAGTTGCAAACTTAGCAAGAGAATATCGCCTCTAGAATTGTGTATATGAAAACTTTCAAGCTGATAGTAAGCCATGGATATGCAAAGAGACGCCGTCGACTCCAAGTCATACAAAACGTAATAGTACAGCCACTAGAATAGTACTCAACACACCAGGACACCGGCTAGTCCAGCTTCAATCCATATTCGCGTACGCATACTATGCGTGGTCACCCTCGCCAGTCTCGTCGTGATGCATTTCAGTCCCATGAAAAGCATCGCCGAACGCCGAATCATCGACAAGGTCCAAGCCCAGGTTGTCATCGTGTCCATAGTCGGCCAGAGCGTCTCCAGCACTATCAATGTTGTCGAAGCTCCCAAAGTCGGCGGTGTCGAACATGCTGCCTGCATCAGCGTCGATGTTGGATTGAGGCATCCCGCCGACATTGTTCGGGCGCTGGTTGTTGCTCATATTTGGCTGTTGGACACCGCCGGCTGGCTGTTGGGCATTGCCTGACTGGTCGTTCATCGTCCAGTCATCAGTCTTGTCTCCTGCACCCGCCATGCCGGACATTTCTACATCCAGATCCAAAAGATCGGCTCCTACATCAAGGCTTGTATCCTGTTGATCGAATGCCGACGACTGGTTCATGTTGCCGTGTGGTACATTGGGTGTACCGGTAGCGGACTGCGATTGACTCGGTGGTTGCGATAGTCTAGGCAAGGACATGTTGCCGATAGGTGTGCCAGAAAGTGATCCCGACCCATATTGATCCAAAAGGTTCGCGGCAGAGTTATCTTCCATCGAGCCCTGGTTGTTCATGCCATTCGATGTGCCGTTCGCTTGCTGTTGGCCTCCGTTGCCGTTCATCTGCGCTTTTGGAGGTGAGGGCTGTTGTACTTCAATAAAACCACCCTTGTCTACACAGACAACCGCCTTCTTCTCATCAAACTTAACACCCAGCGACTTCTCCAAATCTTGTACAACTCCTTCGACCGGGTTTGCGTCATCACCGTCGCTCTCGGTGGAGCGAGATAGATCTCGTAGTCGGCGTTCGGCTTTGATGTAGGTCCTGGTGCGCTTCAACTGTGCCACCTTCTTCGCGTGCTCGGCCTTCATCTTGTCAATTTCAGCCTGCTCGTTCTTCGTGTACTCTGCTACGCGCTTCTCGAAGTCCTTGAGTTGGTCTGCGTCCAGCTTGTAGTAGTTTTTGATTTGGTAGTTGTCCTTTCCTGGCTCCACATTCTCAGCTCCTGGGACGTCCAAGATGCCAGCAGTAAGCGGAGCAAGCTCGCCCATGAGGCCTAGGCCTAGATCAATCGGCGCGATCTTTCCAACAGCGTACGGTGATGAGAAGATCTCCTCCATCCACTCGTGATGCTGCTTGTAGCGCGACAAGCTGATCTCGCGCGGAGTGAGGAAATCGAAAGCATCTTGTGTAGCGTTCTCCTCCTCTTCGAGCGTGTTGTCCGGCGCAAGCGCGCCTGCAGCGGGTTGACGGGGTTGAGGTTGTGTCGGCAAGCGCTGGCGTTTGGCTGGCGGAGGTTGCGCAGGATATTGCCTGCCTGGCTGCATGGGGTTGTAGGGGTAGGGCTGAGGGCCTCTCATCGCCTGTTGTCCAAACTCGACTTTTGGCCAATTCGCCTGGTCGACCAGCATGAATTCCTTGCGCATCAACGGTCCAGCTTGCTGTAGTTGAGCGCGCATCTGGAACTGGGCCTGGACCTCTCGTGGGACGGGTATTTGGGCGGCGGGCATTCTGCTTTGTGGATCTGCGGGCTTGTAGTGCACAAGCCAGAGATTGGGATCGATGTTTCCAGGGCCTGCGGCGATTCGATAGCGATGGCGCGCGTGCACGGCATATGGTTCGTGGGGGTAGTGGTAGCCACTGTTGTGGACGAGGACTTGGAGAGTCTATAGGGTGTTAGGCATTGCGCGCAAATGACGCCTTGGTATACACACGTATCCGCGCACGTTCATATCGTATGCGGTCTCAGCATCAGCCCACACCATGCCGTCCGAGGCGAACATGGTGCCCATGCGCGGGGGCTGCCATGTGAGGATGACAGTGCCATCTTGGGGAGGGGCTGCGAGGTAGGTCCACGCGACGGGCGACGTGTCGCGCACGATCTGCGGGCCTTTGATGAGGTACTCGAGGGCTTGCGGAGCTTGAAGGCCCGGGAGAGTAGGGAAGCGGTACGAGGATATCAGGTGCACATGGGGAAGGAGGTGATTCGGCACCTGCGCACTCGGGTCGGGGGCATGGTAGGCTTGGTTCATGCCGTACATGATGGCGGAGATACTGCGACGGGATTGCCGCGTCGGTCGGGTCGGTTTGGGTGGTGATGCAGCGGGCGCGAAAGCTGGGGTTGGTTGATGTCTGGAATCTTTGGCGCGTTGGGACCGCGCGACTGCCAAGATGTCGTCGTAAGCGGTTAGCGCGGTACTCGGCTGCTACGAACACATGTTCAATCACGATCATGGTGTACACAGAAGTGTTACTGTCCTGTGTGTTAGTGAAAGGTACATGCAAAGTATGGCGTGTATTTCAGTCAACATTTCGCTCCGTACGCACAAGCACAAGATAGCTTCTTCGAGGATGTTCTCCTTCTGCAGCCGGCCTGATCGACACATCCGTGCAAACCTGAAGGTTCCTGTATCTAAGCCGCCAGGTATCATCGGAGCACTGAAGTCGGCCTCATGTACTATGTCTCTTGTGATTGTGTTACATGATATACTCATGCTGACCTTTACCCAGGTACCCATTCTAAACAATTGTGGAAGGGTGGGGGTTTGAAGGTTTTCGACCAACACTGCAACTGACCAACTATTGGGCATTGATTACACGTCGATATAGATGAGGTAGCGCCACGGTGTGATCATATACAGCAAAGCCGGATGCAAGATAGTCAAGAAGGTCTTCTGTTGCGAAGCCGTTGCATCTTTCCCCCTCAACCTACCAATATCTGGACGTTGAACCTCTGCAATGAGCCTACCTACAACCAAATGTGATGTATCCGAGGATCGCTCTGAGCTTCTCTTGTATGTGAGTAATTGTACATGGTTTTAGCAAAGCCAAACGCAGTAGCCCCATTAGTGATGAAAAGAACGAGTGGAATATTTGCGTGAATTAGCCATCCCAATGAAAGATGTAGCTTTGACTGGCGGCATAATTCGCGAGTTAGCCCCACAAACTTGCATGGTGTTTTCGGCGAGAACGGCTAAGTCGATTGAGTGGGGGTAAAATGTCACTGGCCCGTAACACGAATTTTTATCAGGCCTCGCTCACTCAGGGCGTCGAGTTGCGAAATACCAATATAAACGTTACAATTTGGCGACTTTTCATCAATCACCGATCACCGATCACCGCTCATCGCCCGTTTGGGCGACGGTGAATTCGGCGGTCCTCTTGGCCAAAGAGCAAAACCGGGCTTGTGGTTTAGTGGTATAATACTCCCTTAGCATGGGAGTGGTCCAGGGTTCGATTCCCTGCAAGTCCATCTTTTTGCGCTGCTGTACCGTTCTTTAGACGGGGGAGAGTGTAGAGGTGTGGTGAAGGTTTGGGATTTTTTGCGTTTTTTGGTAAGATTGGCATCACGACTCGTCATTCTATGCAGGTGATGCAGGTTCTTTGCTCAAAACTCGCCCTATGCTCATTTCTACAGCCATCGTATGATGATGTCTTTATTTTGTAACCGTTTTGTCAGCCTCAGGCGTCTGGTGGTTGTGGGCGGCATCACAAAATCGCGCTTCTCCAACAACCCCGTGGTAAAAGATATGCGACACCAGCTGCATACTGACCAGCGTGATCGATCAGTGTAGCGCATCGGTTTGAGCACATGCAACAAGAGTGTGTGGACTTCAACATAATTACGACACTCCTACTTAGCAAATAACCCCATAGATCTAATTTTGAGTCTCTCCGCAGCTCCGAATCAGGGAAGATGTGATTGTACACACCCCTGTGCAACAAAGTACGATCTCGCAAAGACGGTCTTGGTTCACCCTTCGCTCGTAGCAATTGCTATCCCCATTCGACCCTATGTCTGGAGGCATTAATCGCTATATGATCTGACGAACCCAGTGACGGGTCCGTGTTCAAAGCTTTGTTAATGCTACGTACGCCGCTCAACGAAGGAGATGAAGACGCATCCTCAGCATCGCCAGCCGTAAGCGGACGAAATTAGTAAATTGGATCATAGTCGTACACACCAGAAGGTTCCTTGAAGAGGAAGTCAAGCATGCCACGATGCATCTCTGTCTTGATGTTAGCCAAAAGTCGGAGATTGCGCTTATGCAAGTTCATTTGCTATCTGCAACAACGCGCCGTCTCCCGATGCCGCATGCTTAAAACCAACTCCAAGCCGACTGCGAACTCCAACTCCTGTGCCCAAGAAACCTCTCGATCAGCTCCGGCCCATGCCTCTCCCTTCCAATATGGCGCAAAGTTTCCTCAACGAACGCATCCGGCCTCCACACATCTCCAACCGTGTAATACAATCGTCGGACCGTCGCCGTGTCTTCATCGCCCCCATCTAAACTCCAGTCCGCTTTCACGCCAGGCGCATAGTAGGATAGTTCGAAGAAGCCCACGTTATACCCGATTTCGCACTCGAGCATAAAGCTCTCGAGGACAGGCATTTGCTGCGTCGCTTTTGCAAAGGCGATGAGAAACGGGTCTAGCGTGTCTCGATTACCGTGTTGCATGTATTGAGTGTCCTCCTCGTCCCTCGGGGTGCCAACGAAGTACCAGGCACCAGAAGGCGCGACGGGGTTGAACGAGATCTTGAGCTTCTTGAGCGAGGGCCACGATGGCATGGCGCGCGATTCGTGGACAGAGGGCCAGAACAGCGTCGAGTCGACATAAGCGTCCAGAATGAAGGTTGTAAGATTCTGAGAGAAGACGCGTAGGGACGCGCTAAATGGATCGAAGAGTGTGCCTTGTGGAAGACTAGAGGACGTAGCTTCTCGGTGATCGAACGGCGCTTCCTGGTGGAAATTGCACATCGCTACTGAGCTAGCCGGAAGCTTCGTTCGCTCAAGTAACCTTGCGAAAGTTGATCTTCTCTCAACGCCGGCCGATTGTGCACCCTCTTCGTAAAATTCTGCGTAAATGTGCTTCAGGCCGGGCAGAACTGACATGAGCTGGGGCGCAACGGATGGGGATATCTTTCGGCTGTAATTGCCTTGCATCTGGAAATAGCTGATTCGCGAAACTGTAGGTATTTTGTCCACCTCGGACAGCGTGAGATAGGCAGTAGAATACCGAATCTCGGAATCGTAACAATCGCTCGGGGACTCCGGAGCTGCTAGGTTGAATCGCAACTCGGAACGGACACCTGCATCCTCCCATTGCTCCAAGGTCGAGAAAAGTTCAGCAATGCTATGGGTGAAGATGTCGTTGTTGGCCTCTTGCTCCTCACTGCTCTCCATGAGATTGCCCTGCTCTTCCGGATATTCTGGAAGCAGAATGCTGTACTTCAAGTTCCTCAAATATTTGCACCTATTGCGTGTTACGATGGTCCGCAGTTCGCCAAGATCTTCGCTTCTGATGTCTAGTCGATGGAATGTAATGAACTCAACAGCCTCCTTCCATTGCTTGGATATTGTAGCAAAAGGTGGCAGTGCTGACGACTTAACGACCAACCGTTGTTGTAAGATATTGGGAACCCCTTCTCGATCTGGATACCGATCGAGAAACGTCACCATCCGGTTGATGATCTCCTGAGGTAGGCGGTCCATTGTGACGAAGATGTCTTGAGCTTTAGTCGAATGACACTCAGGAACAATGGTCAAATCTGGATACTGAGTTGGTGTAAACAATCACTTCATTCAAGGAAACTGATACGCTCATCAGGCGCAATAGGCATGGGCTAGATTGTGCGTGCCGTGAGGTGAGTAACAAGCTCCACGATTTCTGCAGACACACATCCCTTGCGATGTAGAGCGACACTGCGCGACGAAGATGCATACGGCGTCAGTGCCCTGGCTCTCCGATTCATAGACTCACAACTACCGTCTTATGCACGTCGCGTCCGGAGATGCTCCCGAGGAACTCCAGTGATGGAACGTTTGGAGTCAGTAAGATAGTAATATGACCGACCGACCGAGATGAACGTGGTGTGATTCGGGTTGCTATTTGGATAAAGAAGGATCAGGGTGGTTGATGAAGCTGAACGATAATTTGCTCACGCGCCAGACACGGAAGGGCTCTTCAATGTTGGATGCCAAGACGGGTTGAGAAGAGATGAGACGGACTGCGGAAATCGCTCAAATGATTGCGGGGTGAACATCAAATTAGCATGGCTTGGCGTCTTGGCCGCCGCGCTAACACGTGCCTTTCGTGGGAGATCCCGAGGTCAGCGCCGAAGGTCCTGCGCGAATGTTTTAGGACAGCAAGAATGAATCAGACAGTGTGTACCAAAGCAGTGGGTATATTGAAGCAAAGACTGCTCTAGGGATAGCGAATGCCAAAACTACGAAGCCCAAGCTCTCCTATTCATGCGACATGAACTACTAATGAGTGAAGTCCAGTACTCTAAACAACGTGGCTCTGCTCGACATGGGGCTCCTTCTCATCACCGAAGTTGTTGAGGCGCTCCTTAGCAGCTTGTCTGGCGATGGCGTCCATGTCCACAGGAGCTACAGCGGCAGGGCCGTCGAAGATACGGGCAATCTCCTCAAGTGTAGGTCCCTATTGTACGAATTAGCAATGTTCTCCAAGTAGACTAGACATGTACGTACCTTGGTCTCGGGGTAGACGAAGTAGACAAAGACAAGCTCGACGGTGATCCAGAGAGTGTAGAAGAGAGCCAAGTTCCAGTGCTTGGGAAGGTTGTCCCATGCGACGGGGTTCGTCTGACCACCAACGGCGAGGATAGCCTGCACAGTGATGTTCATGATCATGAGACCCTTAGCACGGAGAGCGTAAGGCAGAATCTCGAGAGCGTAGGCAACGAGTAGACCAGACCAGGCGAAAGCGTAGAAAACACCGAAGATCCAGACGAACGGAATCTGAGCGTAACCGGCTGCGGAGTTGGTGTCGCCGGAGTTCTCATAGATGGCGCAGGTGATGGTCCAGCAGACGAATGAGACGACCATACCAGTGGTTGCGCCGAGGAAGAGCGGGCGACGACCAACCTTGTCGATCAGGGTAGCTGCGTAGACGGACACACAGAGAGCCAAGATACGTTCACCACCGGTAAGCTAATCCAAATGTTAGTGAGTGTTTTCATGCCACAATTCAGCGATACTTACACCCATCTTCTGGTTCTCGCTGGTAATACCAGCACCCTCGTAGACCAAGTTGATGTAGTTGGAGAAGAGCGCGTTGCCAGAGTACTGGGAGATGATACCGAGAGAGATGAGAATGGCCAACCTCCATCGGTTACCCTTGGTCTTGACAAAGTCGACGTAGCTGGAGTTCTTGTTGGCATCGGCTTCCAGACGAATGACCTCCCTCATCTCGACGTATTCGAACTGAACTGTGGCGTTGTTACGGTCACCTCCGGCATGGTAGTAGGCGAGAGTGTCCAGGGCCTCTTCGTAGCGCTCCTTGGAGATCAACCAACGTGGGCCTGGAAAGCAATGTCAGCGTATACTCGTTATGAAGTGCAAAGTTTGACTTACTCTCAGGAACCCACCAAAGGAAGCAGAGTTGGAGGAACGAAGGCAGAGCCTGAAGAAGAGTGATGGACCTCCAAGACCAGTGGTTGTCCGCCTGAGATGTACCCCATGCGATCCATGCGACGAAAAGAGCACCCAAGTTCCAGAGACAGTTGTATACGGCAGTGAAGATACCACGGTGCTGAGGATGGCAGATCTCGGTAAGAAGAATAGGCGAACACATCTGGGCGAAAGAGTTACCGAAACCAAGGATGAAACGGCCACCCATGTAGATCTGCCAGTTCGTAGAGAAGGTCGAGACAAGGGCACCAGCAATCATGATGGAGCAGCCGACGGCGATTGGAATCTTACGCCCGGTCCACTGGGTCAGGAAGGGAACGAGGAAGAAGCTGACGATCGAACCGATGTTGTACATGTTGTTCATGAGACCCAGGCGGTTACCGGTAGGCTCATCAAAGTAGTCCTGCCATCTGCTCATCTGCTGCGAAGAGTTCATCATCATGCTGAAGATGGTCAGCAACTCCCGCTGCATTACTGGAAACCCCACTCACCCGTCATAACCAGTAGTGGCGGAGGCAATGCAAAGGACCGACGAGTGCCAGAACAGCTTTCGCATGTTTGGGTCCTTGTACCAAATGACCTTCTCGAACTCAGGCACATCCTCGCGGACGGCACTGTTGCCCTTGGCGGCTCCGACGTGCATACCGACCATCTTGAATAAAGAACGATGGAACTGTTGAGTGAAAGATTGACCGAAGTTCAGGACAAGTAGACTGTGCTACTGATGGGCGAAGTCCCTTGGGGTTGAGAATGACCCTCGTCCGGCGTCGAGTACTTATATTCGATCCACCTCCACTGCAAGCGACCCCACACCCCGGATGGGAGATACTCCCATGCTTGTTCCACCGCGGGTTGACGGACATGGGTACCGCACTTTGCAGGAAGACTGCCTGACAGCAACGGTGGGAAGGGCCAGTAAGATGATACCAAGAAATCCCCACCGAGCGATCTGTTGGCACCAGGCCCGTAGCGCCGTGGGACTAGACTTACAAGAACAGAGAAGTCCCGTCTTGTCATATCTAGGCATTGGCCGCCAACGGAGGTATCCAACGTCCGATGCAAATTGCTGTCTCCCCATGGGGTGTTCGGCTGCCTTCCAGAAGTCTATAACCTGGTGGCGCTAGAACGTGTGACCACATTTGACAATAGACCCAGACACGGGTTGCTGTCATTCATTGGCCCTCGAAAGCGCCTTGATATTGCTTCGTGATAGCCAGATAGGACAACAGCATGCTGCGTTTTGGAGACGCGACATGTGCAAAAGCGCCTGCTGGCGCGGTCTGGTGGTTCTATGCCTCGGTCTGCTTCAACTCATCAGATGAGATTCCTCCATCATGAGATGTCGAAGCCGATCTGCCGAGTGATTTTCGCCATCAGGCCATGCGTTCCCCGATTCTGTTGCTATTCCGCTGTGCCCAGCGTTGAGGCTTGAGACGCCCCCGGGCTTGATTGTAAGACGCCTCGATAGCTCTGGATCCCCATCTGAACAGGCGACTCGTCCCGCGGATAATTTTGCTTAGCATCCGGTATGCCTCTTGGTGTTCTGCACTCAAGGCTTGGACGAACCAACCAAGAGTCCGCTCACGGTAGGTCAAGCTTACCATGCGATGCCAGGACCAGCCAAGATGGATAAATGGGCCTGCGCGCCGGATCTGGAGCTCGGTGACTGGACTTTACAAAAGAATTGTACTGACGATGTCGTTTCATGGTTTTTCGCATTGGCAGACGTCGATAAGGCTCAGACGGCTTCGATGTACGCATGCGGATAGGGTGTGCAAATGGTTAGGGGGGGAGCCGCGCTGTGCATACGCGCAAGCGACGAGGCGGGACGGTGTCCAGGTGCACATCGGAGCTATGTTGCAGGCCACGTGCAGCCTTGGCGGCATGCACCGGCGGCAGCCATGGGAGTAATCAATTGCGAGGTCGGTGCTCGTACTGATGCGACACTTTCAATTTCCCGGGAGGCATATGTGTGTAGAGAGTTCCACGCGCCGAGCTGTTGGAGTCGACAGTATATTGTTCATGCGCAAGCGAATAGGCTAGTGGGGCCCCTCTTTCCATCGCAGAACGCCCCACCCCGGTCCTCTACACGCGTTGTATACTCATGTCGTGATTGATGGCGCTTAGAGACATGATACCAAGCCCTGCCCTGACAAAGACGGGGCCCCGGTCAGCCGGGACTGCGCAGCTCACTCGATAGCGGATCACACATTTAGCCGGCCACATCTGGTGGTGGCGTTGTGGTGGAATATTGCTAGACGCCAAGCATGCGATTATTTCTGGAGCGGAGAGCGGAAAGGCGGCACGGTGATGGATGAGACCTCTGTGTGAACATGATTTTAACACTACTCACAGCCTTTATCGACAAAGTGCGATGTGGCGCGGTGCGAAGACTGACCCAGCAGCAACGACGGGCCGGACTTTGAGCCTGTGCTCTTCAGGCCACCTCTGAGCTAATTCACGAGACGGCACAGCACCGTCGCCGCCTGTAATGGATGCGCGTTCTGATGGGAGATTTCTCGACAAGATGGCGGGCCACTATTCTGAACACGACACCGACGCAAGGCCTTACTTCGTCTCCGGTAACGAGTTTCCGCAACCGAACGAGAGAGGGACTTTTCTACCACCCTTCAGCAGCCTAGAATATGGCGGTTTCGATCAACAGAGTCCCAAGGAGTTGTCAAACTTTGTCGGATTCGAGATTCAGCGAAACATCTAAAAAGGCGGAAGATTAGCGAGCGTGACAACTTCACAGCCTCCTTCTTGTCGTCATAGACACACATACTCAGTGGACGGGGGCTATAAGAAGACATGGTGATGGGGTTGTGTCTTGTGCATGTCCCACAGCACCCGGTGAGGCAGACCAAACGAGATTTGAAGTTTCATAGAATGTATCGCCAGAAGATAAGAGACTTGACCATCAAAATCTAGGCTGATCAATTGCAAAGGGCTAATTCAGGCGCACTGTCCGTGAGCTCTACGTACCGCACGAGACCTTCCGTGATACTCTCTTGTCCACTCCAGTCATTCCATGCACTTCTGGTCCCGCTCGATTTCCTATCTGTGTACTTCATACACTCCAGCCAAAAGTGTTGTTTTCACGAAGTCTGGTCGGCTGACGAGTGTAGGCAAGCTTTACGATCTGCTTCGGGACTTTGCCTGCGAACTTCTGTTCTATGATTCTCCCCAAGCCCTCGGCCGCTTCCACGGCCATTCGACAGTAACACCCTGAGTGCTCAATGATGACTGCGTTGAGCGCGTCGCAGTCCAATATCCGAGCAAGCTTGTATTTGTTGAACAGCTCCTCACCCTCGGCAGGGTAACGGGTGAAATCGTCTTCGTAGTAGTCGTAGCCATCCTCGATTTCCAGCCTGATCAGATCGCTGCAGTGGAAGTTAAGCTTGATGGTACGCAGACCCTTGCATTCGAAAGCAAGTTCTAGATCAGCGTTCACACCGAACTCTTCCTTGAAGCGGCTGAAGAACCTGAAGTCCAAGTGACGAACGAGGTCAAAGCGGCTCGGCTCTGCGGCCAGGAACGCGCGTGCAAACTGGTTGTCGGCGTATGAGCAAATCATCATCTGCGAATTCCCGATGACGGTGGCGACCGTCTCGTCGAAGGTTCGTCGCGATGTATAGCAAAACTGGGGAAGAAACCCGGGTCGAGCGGGGTTATTGCCCCTCCTGACTGCCTTGCGCACTTCCATCACGTTCGTATCGACATCGAGGGTAAGTTTCCAGATCTCGAGGCGGAGTTCAGTAGGCAACTCAAGGAATCGGTGAAACTTCGGCTTGATGGCAGGGGCTTCGTAGACGTCTGCGACTGCATCGCTCTCTGGAATCCACGGCTCGCCTTTGATGTATCTGGGCACTGTATTTTGTAAGCATAGCTCGTGATTCCTTGCATCCCACAACGACCTACTCTTCTTCGACCCGGGTAGCACGCCATGCTTCACTACTTCAGCCCAAGTCTGAATATTCAGGTGCGAAGTACTGGAAGACGGGGTTGAAGTGATGGTTGAACCCTGAATATCGGGAAATGTCGCCGTGTCTAGTTGGAATGTCGCAGCATCATGCGCGACGTTCATGCCAAATCGACTGCCGGCTACTGAGAAGGGAATGAGGACGATGGGCATGTTTGCGATTTCCTGTCTTGTCAGGAAAGGTCTTCGTACTAGAAGAGATTTAACTTACAGTGCAAAGAGAAATGAATGTAAGAGCCGGAATGGGTGGAAATCGTGAGACCAGGTTCATCGATGAAGGCTCTACGTATACGGGAGGTAGTGAGTGGTAGACGAAGCAGCGGATAAGACTCCTGCCTCGCCCTTGTAGGAAAGTGTGCCCAGAATAATTTGCGATATTCCTCTTGGGAAAGCGTCTTTGTGCGTTCGAATTGTATGAAATGCGGCAGGTGTGGTTGGCTCGCCGTCTGTGGGCCATCGCAGTACCACGGAATGGAGGTGATGGAACCAATCTGCATCTCAGCCTTTCACACATTCGCATCTTGATGTGACCTCTCCTTTTACGCCTACGCAAGCAGACAATTCAGAATTTATGGGCGTGCTCTTGCACCACCTTTCCATCTTCGATGACACAGATGTCGACACCAGCAGTCACACGCAAACTCTCCATATCGAAGAGGTACTCTTCATCCTTCTTTACTACCTCCGAGTAAAAAGGATCCTCGTAAGCCTTCTCGAAATCTTCGTACTTCCGCACCCAGAAGTCCGCCATGCCGTCGTACGAAAGAGCAGGCATGCTTAGGCGCGCTTTGCGTTTAGATGTAGTATGATACTTGGAATGATCAGTACTTGTAGACGAATTATGCAGTATCAAGATGACGAGGGACTGCACAAGTAGGGAGAACTGATGGGAAAGCTAACTTGGACGTATTTGATGATGCCGTGACGCTGTAGCCATGATGTGATGAGAGGGCCATGTTTGTTCGCCCAATGGTCGTTGAACTCATCTTCAGAAAGTTTAGCATTGCGGTTCGCAAAAACAGTGATGCGTATCAATTCTTCGGTCGACATGGTTGCTATTGCTTGAGTTGTCGCGAATGTGGCTGGCGTCCATGGGTGGCTGGGATGAGGATGCCGCGTCGATGACGCATCACTGCCTGCAGGAACCCTGATCGGCATCCATCCAAACCTACCGCATGCACGATTTCAATGTGCTCTTTCATGACTGATTACCCCGGATCACTGATGCGATGCTCATTATCTTACCTGTCGCTGCGGACCACGTCGCCAGTTTACTTTTTGCTCATTACGCCCCGCCTTGACCCTGTAGAACGATAAGGATGGTGCTCCACCCCTCCGCCTCTCCACTCGACTCTGCGATCAATCACCAATCGCTGGCATGACCTTAGCTTCCAGACAACACATGAACAAAAGGGCCTTTTCACATACGGCTACCGGTAGCGCCCGCCATGGGGCGTTCGGTTACCCGTCGCCCCTCATTTAAAGGAACGGCGATGTTCGGTCGAGGCCGCGGAAGCTGTTATCCGACAGCCGCACAACAGAGTAGCGACGTTAACTACCAGAGCACTTCAGCTTCTGACAAACCTTGAAAAGGACTTATCACTTGCTGGAGTACAATACGATCGTTAAGTGTGGAGCCAACATGACATCCATCGATCAGCCGCTGAACGGCAAGATACTCCTCATTACAGGAGGTGCATCTGGTACTCAGAATACTATCGATGTCGGAAAGGTGTATGTCTAACATGGACAGGAATCGGCCTTTGTGTAACAAAGCAAGCACACGATCTCGGCGCACGCATCCTTGTCGCAGACCTCAAAACAACACCCGACTTCGATACCTTTGCTGCCAAGAAGTCGAACATTCTCTACGTGCAATCTGACGTGACGCGATGGGCCGACTTTGACAAACTTTTCGACGCGTGCGAAAAGCAATGGAACGACGTTCCCGATGCATACGCCATCTGTGCGGGACTGTTCGACCCACCGTTTTCCAACTTCTGGCAAGACCCCGAAGACCAAGGGTATAAGCAAGTGGAGGTCAACGTGAACCATCCAATCAAATTAACGAGATTGGCTATCAGGAAGAGTCTGGGGAAGGGCAAAAGGGCTAGTGTTTGTATCATCGTAAGTCATACCACATATCAGGGTCGACTTGAAGGGCCGTCACGTAGTCGATGGCACGTCTAACACCAGAATAGGCGTCAGTAGCCGGCATATCAGGCAACCTAGCAGCTCCGCTCTACTGCGCAACGAAACACGCTGTCGTGGGCTTCGTAAAGTCTCTTGGGCCATCTGAGCCACTCACAGGCGTCAAGATTACCACTCTCTGTCCTGGCGCCGTGGCGACACCGTTATTCGACGCCGCGAAACTCAAGCAATACTCTGTGACCACGGAGAAGGCATTGACACCAGATGCATGCGCGACTTCTTTGTTGGATCTGCTACAGAAGAAAGAGTACCCATGCGGCAGTGTACTGGAAATTACTCTTGGTGGGACAAGGCTTATCCCGGAGTGGGGTGTGGAGCCGCCGAAAGGTGTGGGCTCGGGACAAGACCTGGATGAGCAGTTCATGACGAACATGCTCCAGCCTATCAACGACAAGTTGAATGCGGAGAAGGCGAAGGCATGAGGACACATAGTGTAAGGGATGCGTGTGTATTATGTGTGGTATTGAAATCTCGCTACCAGATCACACTGAACAACGAAAAGTCAAAATAGGTCTGCAGCACACATCAACATGAAACTATGCAAAGTAGGTGACCCAAAGCCAACGTAGGCTCCAGGCTGATTAGGGTTTTGCAGTATACTCTCAGTATACTTTCCACACCCCTGACATCCCCGGCTTCCAATAGCCTCAACCCCCTAACAACCCCACATACCCTCCTTGCAGTCCCCCAAATCCCTCTTCTGAACCACCACCATCTCTGCCTTTGTCTCTTCAAACAGTTTGCCGTGAGTGTGCCTCCATTTGTCGGGGATGACAACTTCGTCATCGGCATCGTTGTCGTTTGCCCGTGCGACAATGAAGTCGCTGGTGGTGATGAGGGGGAGGGTGCCCATGCCGCTTGGGATGTATGGGCGGGGGTTGGGGAACATGGGGAGGCTGAGCCCCAGGGTGACGAAGAGGGAGATGATGATGGTGTTGAAATGCATCTTGTTGGTTGTGGTGGGGAGGTTTTTGGTTGGTGTGTTGGTTGGTATTGGGTTGGTAGTAGTGGATGGCTTGTGGTATCTTTGAGTTGTTTTGGATTTGGATGTAAGATGTTTTTGTGATGGTAAAAAAGCTAAGAGGGACAGCAGAAGCAGGGCGTTATGTACTAATGGGCGAATGCGTAGATTCCATGGGATTTCATTACCACGGTTTAGTGGTTGGAGTTCCGACTCCACTATGCACTCCAAACATGGCTCAGCGATTGCTCGAGCCATTCAAAGCGTATCTGATTTGTATCACGCAGGGACTAACCAAAGTCTTGAGGTAGCCGGGTAAACTTCGGCTGGTTATCGGGGTGCATGCACGAACTCATGGTGCCGTGAAGTAGTCGAGCACTTTCCAGTATCCAATCGCTTTTGCAGCGTTTGCAGTTTCGCGCTAACCCTACATGTCTACCCCAAGTTCGCGGGAAACGCTCCTTCAGTGCCTGCCTTCGGCGCCTTCCTTTGATCAGCACAGCCCCTGCGCACCCCATCTTGCCCTGCATTCTTAGCCCGGATTTCTTCTCCGCATACTGCTTATACAGCAGCTTCCAATCTGAACACGTGCTATTATATTCCTAAGTTCGCTCACAATGGCTCTTACCCTTTCCAAAGTTAAGCAATATAGCTACTAGAGAGCATCGAGCTGTGCGCTACCGGCTCTCGCGCCTGGATCACGAACACTGTATCTAGAAATTGACATCGTCTGAGGATGCGTTGTAAAATACATAGGTACCTATCTCCCATGATTGCGATGTTTCTCAGTCTTGTGTGCGGCAAGTACAGCACATTTTCTGATTATATTGGTCGTAGCAATCACCGCTGTCTAGAACATCGAGTCTTATCTTTGCAGACTACGTGGCCGGCATATATGACTGCGTGTTGTTCATCACAGACCCAGGGGATGCCGATGTGTTGTGGTCTGCGCTCGCGCTCGCGCTCATGCCTCACCTTCACCTTCACTTTCACTTCTACGTAATCTACCAAGCGAGACCCGAAGGCTACGTACGTCCTGGTAGCTCACCACTTGCAAATCGGGCGTCTTACTTGTGCGCCCAACACGTTTGTACCTCAGCGCCAACGCCACGATACGCAGAAATGGCAGAGACTCCGCGCCTTCAGATTATAGATGCGGTTCAAAGGCAAGTTCCTCAAGCTCCTACGAAAAGCCCAAAGCTGATCAGTATCATAGCTGTTTCACCTCCGGCGAATACACGGACCTTACTATCAAATGCGGAGCCGACATCCACAAAGTTCACAAGATCATCGTGTGCAAGCAAGTAAGCTTCTTCACTACAGCTCTCAGGTTTAGTGGCAAGGTATGCATAGTTGATTCCCGAGGTCTGGAAAGAACTCGGTCTGACGACAAACAGGAAGCGCAGACAGATGTCATTGATCTCCCCGAGGACGAACCGAACGTAATCGCCTCTCTTATCCAATACCTTTACACAGGCAAATACCAAGACGACTTCTCTACAACCCCAAGGAATGCGCATGCGAGCCCGATCACGCCCTCCAACATCCCAATTCAGCGGACTGAGACCTGGGATGTCATGGGAGACCCGTATACCTATGATTTCCCGCACACTTGCACAGAGGAATGTGGAAAGAGGACATTATGTCCCCATCATTACTGCGACCATGATACTTGCAGTTTGGCTTGCAAGGCCTTCATCTGCGACGAATGCTGCTTAGTCGGGCGTCTTGGAGGACCACCCCAGCTTCTCAAGCACTCGAAGATGTATGCAACCGCTAACAAGTACGATGTCACTGGCCTCAAAGAGCTAGCAGTCAAGTACTTTCAGGTCGCTTGCGACGGATGTTGGGACGTGGAGTCTTTCGCCGTCACCATCGACCATGTCTTTTGTTCGACCCTTCCCGAGGACACCGGCTTGAGGTCGATAATTATCGATACTATGTCTAACAATATGGTACTTATGCGCAAGGCCGAAATACGGGCTATGGTGGTAGCTCACAGCGATCTGGCTGTGGGCGTTCTGATGACGAAGGTGGACTAGCCATCGAAGATGAAGAGGGTCATGACCAGCGACACCACCGGCAAGGCCAGCAAGAATGAGGAAGAAGCTGATGAAGGCGAGGGTGCTGGAGACGAAGAGATTGATGCTCTCTGAACACGCTACGAAGATGATACACGGCCGGCTCTCCGGCGTCGTTATCACGATCGTCCGCATGATGAACAGAAGCTCAACCAAGCGTTCAATGTTCAATACAACATGAAAGCAACGCCCATCTCTTCCAACGCCTAACACCATTACATATAGCATTACTGCGTGATAGCCCTTAATCCTTGTAATGTCAACCCAAACATAACACCCCTCGCAACCCTAGGTTCCTGCAAGCAATCAAACACCTTACCCAACGCCTCTCCACTGGCAGCCTGGCCCATAACACTCGTAAGCGCTTGCGGCATACCATTCTCCACAAGCAGCTTCCTCGCTTTGACCCTCAACTTCTCTTTCTCTTCATCGCTCATCTCCTTTGGCCATCCTTTGAGTTCTTCTTCGGTTGGCAGACCGTTCTCCCGGATCTTTCTGATGTGATAGGCTAGGCCGGCGTCGGACGCATTCCCGTCAAGCACGGTGGTCTGAAGGAGTGATGTGATGGAGGAGAGTTGTGGGTTTCCTGGGCGTAAGAGGAAGGATTTCGCGGCGTTGAGGAGGGTGCGACGGAGGGTCCAAGCGGAGGAGAGGGTGTAGAGTTCGTTTATGACGGCGAAGAAGAGCTCGATGAGGACGGTGGTTTCGGGCTCGGATAGTGGCGTGTGGGTGGTTGCTGCGCGTGGCCTTGACAAGGGTTTGGCCGGAGATGAGGTTAGCGATGTGGCCGAGGGTCGACGGGGTAGTGAGGGCACGGAGTCTGTTGATGGCCGCGAAGGTTTCTGAGGTGGGGTTGGTTCTGGTTGATTGCGCATAGTGCTATAGTCGTCGGAGATCTCGCTAGGCATTGGCGGTAGATTGATTAGTTGATCACCTCCCATCATGGGGCTGAGATCTTCGATCTTCTCGCGCATGCTTGGTGCGCGACTGTTACTTCGGGAGCCATATCTGGAAGACCTCCCCGAACGCTTGCCGTCCCCGTCAGGGTTGTACGATGGACGGCGTTCCATAGGCGCCTCGCGCCCTGGCTGCTGGTCGATGACGGGTGAGTGAGGGTCGCGCACAGAGTCCATCGATGTACGCTTGGTCACTAGAGATAACGTGCTCGGCGATCGGATATGCGTGGGTAGTTCGGAAACGGTCGACTCGGCTCTACTTTGTCGTGTTTGGATCGGCGCCGTGTTGGACGATGTACGACTTAGAGGACTTCCGGATGCGTTCGGAGTGGCGGCGTTGCTGATCGATTCGCGATTCTTCTTTCCTCCTAGTGGTGATGCTACACTGCCTAGCACCCCTGTCACACCACCGAACAGAGCCTTGCCGCCACCAGCAACCTCTTTAGGCGCCTTTGAAAGTACGCCCATCATCCCTTTGCCAACTGAGTCGAAGGTCTGGCCAGCCCAGCCGATTCCTGGGAAGCCACCACCAGGGGTCTTTCCTGATCCCAGTTCCTTGTCTAAGAAGCGCTTCATCCCTTCACTTTCAGCAAGCGGTTGGTACTTGACAGCATCGTTGAGATAGCGCTCCAGTTCTCCACGCAGAGACGCCTTGGTGTGACCTTTCCACGGCGGTAGTGTAGCGTGTGCTTCGTTGAAGCCGGAAGTTCCGGTGATAGCTGCTATCCGACGTATGACTTCGTGTAATGTCTCAAACTCAGCATACTTGCGTGCCGTCATCCACCCGGTATGGTGATTGGACTTTGGCTCGATCTGAATGAGATACTCTGCTGTCGGCTTGGCCTTGATCGTGCCCTTTTCTCCAGGCATGCTGTCATCGAAAATGGACATTGTGCTGTTGTGCAAGGTCAATGGTGGTGGTCTTTCCGCCGGTGGGTTATCCATAAGCGCAGTAGGCGGCTGGGGCATTACAAGCTGATCGAAGCTCGTGAAAGCCTTCTTGACCTCCTGAGCTGGTGGGTCCTCAGAACTCCTTGGCGGTGAAGCTGGTGTTGTCTCTGAGAACGACCGGCCGGAGAGCCCTGAAATGGCTAAGTCTGCGTGCTCAACATCGCCGTGCGCTTCGCCCTCGGAAGATGAGGGGGTGACTATGCCCTGGGTGGTGCTCTCCGACTGGTCGTCGTTGAGGGTCGATGTAGAGGCGCTTTGCTTTTGTTGCTCCTTCAGTCGCTTTGCGTCTTCCTCAGCGATCATCTGGCTCAGGAGCTGCGCTTCCCGCATCGCATCGTCCATAGCTTCTTGGGCCTTGCTCATGACACGCTTATGCTCCCTCTTTTCAGCGGGGGTTGCTGTTCCTGCACCAGCTGTCTCGCTCTCCGCGTTCTCCTTGACACCTTGTAATTGTTCAGACGAGCCCTCGACGCCTGCGTCAATCGCATTGAGAAGCTCGGGCTCGCCCTCTTCCAGAAGATATACAATCCACCCGTTGATCCACTCTGGCTTGGAGCAGCTGACGACGATCATCTCGAGTATAAGCTTCGCGAGGATTTGATGCAAAAATAACCGCGCTGGCACGCAATTGTCTAGGGTAGGTGGTAGTCAGCGTACGCGCATGAATTGTATATAAGACTTGCTTACAGGTCTTTGGTTCCAGATAGTTCTGTAGGATATCCTCAGCAGCCACACTGAACTGCTTCGTCTGGTAATCTGGGTCGAGGATGTTCGCTAGGGTGCTGTCCCGCTTCATCTTGAGATATATATCGACCGCTTCGGTTGGCACATCACCGGGCGAGGCTTGGATTGCAGCGGCAATCTCCTGCAGCAGAATGATCATGAAGGAGGATGAGCGCGTCACAAAGTCAAGGAAATTGTCGGCTGGTCGCTTTCGGGAGAGGTGTGCAGATATGGAAAGCACGAAGGCGGTCAGAGTCTGGCGGCACGAGTTCGGGAAAGTGTCTTCGGAAGGCAGTAGGGGTGAGTACCACCACCTGCGTTGTATTAGAACAGTATCTAGGCACTGCACGGAGGACATACTTGACATAGTCACGAATGACTGCATCCGTCAACTCCGTCAGCGCAGCGGCAGTCTCGGGCTTGAAGTCTGAGTAGTCGAGCGTCTTGCCAGAGTACAGCTGCACATTGAAGTCGTAGCCGTCGTCTCCGGACTTGCCCTTGTCTGGTGTCTTGTCGTTCCGCCAGTCGAGCACGCGCTGGGCGATGTCGACGGCCAGCTCTCGCTTCCGCGCGTCGGCGCTCTTTCCTTGTGTCTCCTTGCTGTCGCCATGGTGCCCCTCCCACGTCGCGTGGAGGACGACGCCGCCTACAACGCCTATGAGGACTAGCCCGACGCGGCCGAGTATGAGATATGTGCCTGCACCGAGGCCTGCGAGACAGGCGCCGAGCGTCTCATTGCTCGCCGTCGCCAAGAAGTGCAAAGTGCGATCAGTGAGGGCCTTAAGGTCGAACGGAGGCGCGCCTGCCTCCGCCTTTGGTGCCTCCGGCGTCACGGCGGTGCTATCGCCGAGCGAGTCATGATGGTCGGAGAGTGAGGAGGTGGGCGGGCTCGGGGGTGGTGCTATGGGGTCGCTCATGGTGGTTGTATGTAGGCGAACATTGGGGTCTGCGATATTGGAGAAAGTCGTGGCCTGCAGTGAAGCATGGTCCGGTGCGACAGACTGGCTATGTGGCGTCCCCGGCCGCTGACACTGGCGTACTGGCCGTTTCACAGCTGCCGCTTGTTGATCGCAGGGCGGCCGCTGAATAGTATCGCCGACCCCGCCGCGCGTTGCATCGCTATTTTCAACTGCCCCGTCATTCTGATCTTCACACTTCCACGCGTCACATCTCCCGCGCCCGTACCAGCCATGTCCAGCGACGCAGCCAACGACCCCGAGATCCTCGCTCATGTCCAGCAGTTCTGGGAGGGCCGCAAGCCTAGCAGTCCCATTTACCAGTTCCTGCTTGACGATATCAAGCTGACCTATGCCTCCAAAGGCGTCGTGCGCGCCCAGCTGCCGCTTACCAAGAACCACGTGAACACGCACGGAAGCATCCATGGCTCCGTCTCCGCGACACTGATAGACTGGGTTGGTGGCATCGCTATCGCAGCTTGGGATAACCGGAGCAAGGCAGGAGTGTCGACAGACATTCACATCTCGTACTTGAGCGGGGCTAAGGATGGTGACACCATTGAAATTGAGGGCAGGGCAGGAAAGGTTGGCGGAACCCTCGCTTTCACCACAGCGACCATATGGAAGCTGGTCGATGGCAAGCCAGGTCCTATCGTAGCCACTGGCTCACACACGAAATTCATAAAGATATGAACCTTTATATGACACGCCATCTTCTTTGAGATCTCGTCCTGCGCTCCATGGTCGATCGAGCTCACTCGGATCGCGAAGATTGACTGACCCTCTCGCTACCATTCCGCGCCTAGCCTTACAGCGACGACAGCATGGGTATGCGGGAGGGTCTTACATACTGTAGATGATCTAATATCATGAGTATCGAATCTGTTCGACAGGAGGCTTTTCTGCTATCCTAATATTGAGTCTCAACCTTTGGACATTTTCTGTAGCTTTGCCAAGGAATCCTCCGGAATCTGGATGTGTTGGAGTAAAAGTAATGCCCCAAGCTCCTCGAACAGGTTCAAGATTTCAACACCACACATCGCTATCGCGAGAGAGGGACACGCGTCGCGTATATTGGCGCCACACCCACGAGCCACACTCGGCCCGTGCCAGCCAATCACAGCACGCTTGAGCCACACATTCAATGCGCCAAGCCTCGCGGTTTCCCAGGCAAGCCACATACTATGCCACAAACACAAGCAGGAGGGGCTGCAATCTGCGAAGTGCAGCGAGTCAAGGATCATGTGTCGTGAAATCAAGTTCATGGCGTATGTCATATGGTGAGCGGGTGGTAGCTCTGACGTCGATACTACCATAAACAAAGGCATAGACATGGGAGAATGGACTCCCAATATCTATAAGGACTCCATAGTCCGCGTAGTACATGCGACGACACACCACTATTCTAAACTACCACTTACTCAAGACCATCTCAATCTGAAGCTTCCACTCTATTCCCATCAGGCACATCACACTAAGCACACGCACTCGTAACTCAACACTGATTCCTCCTACAAGAGCGCTCTTGTCAACGAGCACAACCAAACCGATATCGACTGTATAGAGAAGGAACCTTCCTCCTAATCCAGCGCTCGACTCCACACACCACAAACTCAACATGGGCTGCGCATCCTCCCGCCCCCGCCGCTTCGACGGCAGAGGAACATCCTACGTCGACCATCCCCCCAGCAGACACGACATTGGCGGTATGGGAACAAAATACGGTCGACGGAACGGCAGCGTGGCCGGTCCTGGTACAATTGGGACATCTATGGGACACAGTGGCATCAGCGGCAAACATGGCGGTATGAGCAGTGGCACAGGTATGATCACTGGCACTAGCATGGGCCGATCAAGTCGAACAAGTGGAGGTATGAGTAGCGGCGTGGGTATGGGAAGGTCGAACCGGTCGGGGGGAGGTCTCGGGGGATTGGTGTCGGGGCTTGGGAGGAGCCGGAGATGTTAGTCAGTCGGGAGTGGCAGACTGTTTTGGCGGGGAAGCAGACGAAGCGGTTGGGAGGAGGGAGAAGGAGGGATGTGGAGTGAGTGGATATTGTACTCAGTGGTTTAGGTCACCTAGTTTGTACAGCGCCAATGTTCATCATGCTTCACATTTCTGATCGCTATAAAGCTACCTGGGTATCTACTAGACCCTATGCTGCGTGGACCTGGTCATCCGCGGCTATTGTTCGACCCTGTCACCACGCACAATACCATCTACATGGCGGTACTGAACTTGACCATAGCCCTCTGCTGCACGCCGCCCTTCGCAGGCCAAGCCTGAACGTCGAACCCATCCTCCGCTAGACTATCAACGAGATCACGACCAAAGCCCGTCAAGTCCAACATCAGCGTCTGGAAGAACTTCAAGCGCATGAGTTGGTTGATATGAGGCTTCAGCAGTTCGAGAACGGCCTGGCGCAACATGTCATTCCCATCTACAGTGTTGCGCCAGACGAGAACCAGAGAATCCAGGAAAGAGTTGAGAACCGACGAGACAGGGTCGGCATCGATGTGCTTGTGATCAAACTCGGGATTATGGGAGAAGTCCGTTGGGTCTTCGCCAGAGGGCAGGCCCATACTGAGGACCATTCCAACGATGTTGATGTACTCTCCGATAGCGTGGTCGCATAGCTTGGCGACGTCGTACTTGTTTCCGACAACGTACGCGTGCACGTGGAGGTCCAGAAGGGTGATGTTCTCGTACTCGTGTCGCATGTTGGGGTTGAAGATGTAGATGCCGTCTTGGATGTACTGGATCATGGCTGCGATGGCGTAGGGGAAGTCGTCGCGGACGCGGATGCAGCGTGTTTGACCTTCCTTTGGCGTTGTTAGCGTTCTAGAACATGCTGAGTGTGGAATGTGAACGTACAATGGATGGACCGTCTAGCATCGGTGCAAAGAAGCGCGACTCTGTACACAAGAGGTACTTGTTGAGCTTCATGACCTGCTTGCCCTTGTCGAAAGAGATCATGATGTCGTCCTTCTGAAACTCGGAGAAACAGCTTCGTTGTGTTAGTATTGTTTGTTCACAAATTTCTTGTATATGGTGGTTGCTTACTATTGAAGATCGGTCGACTGCATGGGGAAGACACTGGTACGGGCAGCATTGATATCGACAGCGGACTGCGACGTCAGATCTGGCCGATACCTGCGAGGCGGGTCTAGCAGTGAAAGAGTCTGGAAATGAAGCGCACTCGGAGTCAGCGGACCCACGCCTCCGACTGGGTCCTCGAAGACGATGGGGCCGGGCTCGTTGGAATAAGCACCCAATACCTGATCCAGTGGTGAACTCGAGCCTTGATCTATATCCATGTGGGGGGTGATATAGGTTTGTTCAAAGCCATGGCCGGCGACAGGCAAGTCCGATAGACCACGAAGAGATGAGGTACGTGGAGGAAGCTGAAGACGATGTCGGTAGCCATCGAAGGGCTTGGCAAACTTGTCCTGGGCCGGCAGATATAGTACCTCGTTCTCTTTGTCGGAACCGAACGAGAATGTAGGCGCGTAGAAGATTTGTGGTGTCGAAGCAGGAGACGAGGCGATGACACTGCGGAGGGCCTTGCGATGCGGATGACTCGAGAGATTTGAGGCACCTTGGAAAGCATTGCCGAAAGCACGTTTGCGATCTTGCTGGTTCATGTCGACGTGCTGTTAATATTGACTGCCGTTAAATCGAGTCGCCTGTGGAGGATAGGTAGCATGGAGATCCTCTCCGAAGAAATTTTCGGTATTTATACACCCATGGAAAGTGGAGTGCGTGAGAAACGAGGTGACCGCGTCGTCGTGAGTGAGAGATTTGATAGTAATCACCCCGGTTCGGTGGTGAACGTGAGCGTTTGTCGAATCCTTACACTCTATTGTTGGGCCAGTGAATTGAGGACAGTGGACGCATCTCCGAGTGAGAAGTGAAAAGTGTAGGCCCACGTAATATCGGAACTAGTCAACACTGGTAGCGCGCTTGCCTAGCTGTCGAAAGCGGGATACTGGCTCGGCTTCTTTCACTGTTACTGAGAGAGTCGCTACCGGTCGTACACTATTTCCAGCGCGTTGCCATCTCGTCGAATAGGTCCGCTCTGAAGTCCGGTAGCTCATCCATTGACTCGTATACAAGCGCCATGGTTCTGCCCGTACCATGTATGAAAGCTTGCACATGGTCAGCGCAGAGCTTAATCGCCACGCTCTTGAGACTCTCTGCATTAGCCGTTCGCTCAGGTGCGTAGATAGCGCGAATTGCATGCAGCAACTGCTCTTCCTGGCCATCGACTACCAAAACAATTGCCGCGAGGTCCTCGAATTTCTGGAGTGCGAGTGCCTTCAAGCCGGCTATCCCGTATCGCTCTGCAAGCATATATACGTCAACATGAGAGCGCAGAGTGACCTCCTCGGGTACGTCAAGGTCTGAGCCAGCTAATTGGTCCGTGTAATCCAGTTGGTAACAGTACTGCATCATGGCGGCGACGGCTGCTGGGTTGTCAGCGCTTAGATCAATGATGCCTTTCGGTGATTTCTGCTTGTGTCAGCGCGATCGAGACTGGTGAATTGACTGAACATACTGGCGACATGACAACTGCGCAGACTTTCGAAAACCACCGCGAATGATAGCACATGATTGACCTATCGACGTGGTAGACATCCTGCTTAGATCGCACCACTAGATCAGAGCACTGCCAATCCGCAGCAGGTGGTGAAGTTGAGGTAGCAACGGCCATAGGTGAAGATGGAGTAGGCGTTACGGGAGATGAAGTGGGCAGTGCTTCAGCTTGCTTTGGGGAAACTTCTTGAGGCTTGTTCCTCTGTAAGAAGAGTCGGGCTATTGAGCTGTTCGAAATGGTCTTGCGATGCTTAGGACGGCGATTTTGGTTGTTGATTGAAGGAGTGGAAGAGGCTGCAGTAGAGACTGATGCGTTGGAACTGGTGGAAGACGTCCGATGGAGACCGCCAAAGGATGCGTCGGAAGAAGCTATACTGTGTCTTTGCGAAAGTTCATTGCGAACTACGCTGCCTCGCTTGGAGCCATATATAGCAGAGGGATCCAGGCTAGACAAGTAAGCAATTGCGACATTGAACGTCAACATAAACACTCACACATGGCTACTAACGATGACAGGCGTTACAAACATCTCGGTAGTATTTGACAGTTGCAAGGATACCACGTAAAAGCTCGCGCTGCAGGTATCTCTTGAGGCTTACTTGGACTGTGCGGTTATTGCGGTAATGTAGGAGGTCGCAGATGAGACCACGTCCCTACCGCACCGCTGCTGTATATACGCATTTACAACACCGCCCTCTGGGCGCTCAGAACTCAAACAACTCATGACCACATGGACAGAAGGGTAAAGCGCAGGAAGAAAATCACCTAGCCTCCGGCACTGATGGGTGCAAAAGAAGCGTTCTGATATGAAACTCGTCAACTGCACCAATGGAAGATGGGGAATATATTAGCCGTAGCCCCAGATGGACCAGGATGATGAGGCTTATCGATAGTGTTTAATACCGGAGGTGCATACTCGTGGAACGAGAACAGCCGAGCGCTGGAGAACTGTGGGGTAGCCGCATGGCATTCTCCAAAGAAGTCAGCAGACTGTAGCTGAAACGGGTGCTCTTCTTTATTTCGCATGGCACCTATCCCAAAAAGACAGGTGCGTGGAAGTTTTTCCCACACGGAAGTGTCCAGCGAACGACGAAGGACCGACCGCGAAAGTTTTGATAAGAACTTTGCTCGATACTGCGACAAGGTGAGATCATTGTGAAGTTAAAGGATATGAAAGGACCAGGAAGCGTTTACGTCACTGTAGTTTTGTCGGATGCGTTCGCACAACACTCTGAGTAGGTTCGGGTGTCAGCGTCTGTCGCGCGCTGCCATGCGGATCTGTGGGCGCATTGTGCCCATGTGTGGCAGATCGCCCCGGTGACCGCTTCCGTCCGCAAATGAGCCTCATCTGGGCAGTGACCGTAGTGGCGACTCGATAACGAACACCATTTCGCCTCGTCAGAAATACACTTGCATTTGGAAATACACGTTAAGGTTCCGCATTTTCGATTGCCGATGTTCCCCAGTATTGCCATGGGAAACGCGGCCCACGTGCACGGGTTTTGGTGTCAGTGATGTCATTCCGCGACAAAAGGGCCGAACAGCAACAGGAAATTCCAATTGGCTCCACACGCTCTTTCGACTCCACAGCGCGTCACAGTTCGCGCGCTTTGTTACAGATACCTTCCCATTGGTAATGGCTTGCGTCTGGAAGCCGCTTACATCTACATCTGCAGATCGTGAAGAGATAGAACGAGGCACATCATAGCAGTGAGATGGGCCAATCACTATCAAGGCATTGTCACCGCCCTCGAGGTCGCCACCACCTTTGACGTCGCACTTCTCCCGATTTGCTATCAAGCCACGGGAGTTCTAACCTAACCCGCACCGGTTGACATGTAGGCCTAGATTGACACCCTCTAAGCGTCATGGAGCGTACTACGCCTAGCTAGTCCGATGATGATGCGTTTTCAACATGGGATTTATGCGAAGCGGCTGGAGGCGTTATCAGTATCCCATATAAGAAGATTCTTCGGCGCGTCTGACGAAAGCTTAATTACCCAAACATCTCTCTTCACATATCGATACCCAAGAAATCGTAATCATGGCTCCAAGCGCAACCAACGACAACCAGAATGGCAGCACTCAGCATGCTCCCACTGGCTCAAAGAACGGCGACCAGTTCCGCAGCTATGCCGACGACCGCAACGCCTCATCGGAGGATGTCATCTACACCACATCCAACGGTGTCCCATACCCTCACCCGTACGAGAGCCAAAGAGTAGGCGAGAACGGCCCTCTGCTGCTCCAAGACCACCACCTCGTCGACCTTCTATCACACTTCGACCGTGAGCGTATCCCAGAGCGAGTCGTTCACGCCAAGGGTGCCGGTGCCCATGGTACCTACACAACCACAGAGTCACTTGAGGACCTGTGTATGGCAGACATCTTTAAGCAAGGGAAGTCTTGCCCCGTCACCGTTCGATTCTCGACGGTTGGTGGCGAGTCTGGCTCGCACGACTGCGCCCGTGACCCTAGGGGTTTCAGTGTCAAGTTCCGTACCGACGAAGGCAACTGGGATGTGGTTGCGAACAACACTCCTGTCTTCTTCATTAGGGACCCTGCCAAGTTCCCTCACTTCATCGTAAGTTCCTCCGTGATAGTCGGGTACAAACAGACGCTAAAATTCAGGACAGCATACTCAAAAGCGTGATCCCGCAACCCATCTTACACATGCCGATGATGCGACAGCCTTCTGGGATTTTGCTTCTCAAAACCCGGAGTCCGCCCATCAGTTCATGATCCTCTTCGGTGACCGAGGTATTCCCGATGGCTACCGCAAGATGCATGGATACCACGGCCACACCCACAAGCTTCAGAACAAGAATGGCGACTGGGTATACTGCCAGGTAAGTTCTGACTGTACGAAGTGCATATGAGACATATACTGACTTCGTACCTCTACTACAGTTGCACTTCAAGAGCAAGCAAGGTACCGCTTTCATCACACAAGAAGACTCCTTCAACTACGGCCCTGACTACTCGACCAAGGACCTCTACCAGTCCATCGAGAAGGGTGACTTCCCTGGCTGGGACGTCATGTTCCAGACCATGACAGCCAAGGAGGCCGAGGAGGTCTGGGAGAAGCAGAAGATCAACGTGTTTGACATGACACACGTCTGGCCTCAAAGCCAGTTCCCGCTGCGCAAGGTTGGAGAATTCTTCTTGAACGAGAACGTGCAGAACTACTTCGCCGAGGTCGAGCAAGTCGCGTTCAACCCTGCACACTTGGTACCAGGTATCGAGCCCAGTGCGGACCCCCTCCTCCAGTCCCGCCTGTTTTCCTACCCCGACACCCACCGCCACCGTATCGGCGCCAACTACCAACAACTGCCGGTCAACTCTCCACGTGTCGCATACCGCATGGGTAACTTCCAGCGAGATGGCAACATGGCATTCTACAACCAGGGATCGAGGCCCAACTATCTCAGCAGCATTCAGCCCATCAGCTTCAAGGAGCGTACTGTCGACCTCGATAAGCTCCACGGCAACTTCACCGGCGAGGCGATTACCTTTTTGTCCGAGATCCGCCCAGAGGACTTCAACGCACCACGCACATTGTGGGAGAAGGTCTTCGACGATGCTGCCAAGGACCGCTGGGTCAACAACATCTCTGGCCACATGTCGACCGTGTCCAACAAGGAGATCATCAAGCGCCAGATCGCCATCTTCAGGGAAGTGTCTGAGGATATCGCCTCGCGTCTGGAGAAGGCCACTGGTGTCCAGGGCTACCCCGGTATCGCCAACCTGCGATTCAACGGAACACACAACGGCATGGCCAAGTCCAAGGACAACAAGGTTGCCAATGGTATGACTGGCATCAGCGCGAAGTACGCTGAGAAGAACAAGACCAACGGTGCTGCCAAGGCTGGTACGCACAAGGAGATCATTGAGGGCAAGGCTTAAGGCTTTCTGTGGATAGAAAGATATTTGTATATTTAGCGAATGAAGTTTAATACCCTTTCAAGATTGTTGATGTGTTGTCCCCGAGCTTGACTGATCCGCTCCTCTTGTGTTCTCAACTCATACAGCGAAAAAGCTGAAGAGGCCTGCAATCTACAATATGACAACAATGAGCGAATATGAACATGGGGCGTCGATATGCGCAGTTTCTCCCTTCAGTAAGGTGTTGTGACAGGCGCTCAAGCGGTAATGATGTGTTTCGCGTGAATCAAGGGCCAGTGGCAATGCACGCAGGCGGTGGGACCCCTCGCGCGAAGCGAGCTAGCGCGACTGCCTCATCGGCAGCGGATCACTGGGCAACTTCTGAATCGAAACCTGCCAGCCAGCACCTTGTGCCCCTCACCGATATTCTCCCCAAAGCGCTCGACGTACCCAGATCAAAGTCGCAGATATTCCATCTCGCTCCCTTGTACGCTCTCAAAGTCATCGACAGCCTCTACGCGCACGGATCCGCCATGCTGCTAGGGAAGCAAGGGTCGGATGAACCCACGTCACGTGACGCGGATTACGGTTGGCGTGTTGGTCCACCTGGGCAATGGGTTCCATTTCGCGTTCCGCCCGCTAGAGCGTGAGGAGTAAAATCGAGTCCTGGCAGCTCGGTCACTCCCACAGCATTGTCCCGGTCCAGCTCCCCAGACGCCCGCTCCAAGTCATATCATGTTCCTATCGCACCTCGGCATTCTTTTCCAGTCGTCCATCCATTCCCTTGCCGCGCTCTGAAGCTCGTGGAGCTTTTGGCCCGCTGTCTCCGCACCTGCAGCGTCACCGTTGCGCTCCAGCAGACACCACTGTCGCCGACGAGAGCGTCGTCATTGCGCGATAGCGACGCCTCTGCCATTGACTTGCATCGCTTCCGTCACGTCACGGTCCACTACCGCGTCCTTCTAGTCCTTCCTCCCGCCTCTGACCTCGTTCGGCCGGCCACCCTCCCAAGCGCATCCAACACCACCCAGCTCGCCAGCATCGCCCTCGCTCATACACTGCTCAGCTATTGCATTTGCCGATAGCGACAGCTACAGGAACAATGTCGCCGCGACGGTCATCGCGGGCTCGCACCACCCAGCCCCCACCCAGCGTCGCAACGCACAGCAACTCCTCATCCTCCGTCTCATCAGCGCGTACCGATCGTGCATCCAGAGTCAATCCCAAACAGACATCGCCGCCAAAGTCGTCGACCCCACACTCGCTCTCCTCGGAAGAGCCCGAAGAACCGCCTCACGGCGTGCAGCCCGAGCCGCCTCTGACACGCCGACGAACACGCGAGCACGACAATGACGAGGATGAGTCGGCGAAGCTCGACGACGAGCTCGAAGACGACATCGCAGAGGAGGATGAGGTCACCCGATGCGTGTGTGGCTACCAGGAGTACCCGGGCCCGCCATCCGACACTCCCAAGTCCATGTCTGCTCTCGCGGACCCAGATGTGCAAGCCGATGAACTTGGCGGACTGTTCATTCAGTGCGACGTCTGCAAGGTCTGGCAACACGGAGGCTGTGTAGGCATCATGGACGAAGCTGCCAGCCCAGACGAGTACTTCTGCGAGGAGTGCAGGAAAGACCTCCACAAGGTCACAACAAGTCCCAAAGGGTACGTGCTTGTCTTTATCGGCGCTTTCATTTGAGCTTTGTACCCCGCTACGAGTTTCTCTGCCTTTGGTCTCGAGCCCTAGACTTCCTCCATCGCGCGACCACTACTTTACCATCTATGGAGAGCTGACGAGATTGCCATTTTAGTCAAAAGTACTCTCGATACCTCCCCGTCTACGACCAACAACACGGCAAGAACCGCAAATCTTCTGTTTCCAAGGAATCGGATGGACACCCAGGCAAAGACAAGGATCGCAACAATAGGGCGAGTGTAGATTCCTTTGGCAAGCGTCGGTCGACCATGAACAGTCGAGCTGCCTACGACGAAGACGAGGTGCTACGCAAGGTACTCGAAGAAAGCAAGCATGAGGGCGGTACAGCCTCAGAGAACGGCAATCGAAAGAAGCGGAGTCGCGACGACAGCGAAGAGTGAGTCTTGCTTGCTGCTCCATGTGCCACTAGAGACATGTAGCTGACAATCTGCAGGACAAAGCCAGAGATCAAACGACAGCGAACCGGCTCTCGCTCCCCTAGCAATTCGCCAGTGATAGAATCGGAAGATGATAGTACAAAGGCATCTGCTCCTAAGCAAAAGCCTCGCGGAGCTGCGGCAAAGAGTCAACGCGAAAAAGAACAGCGCGAGAAGGAGCGCGAAAGTCACCGAAACGAAGCCGCGAATCGACGGAAAGGCCGTGCAGAGCGAAGAAAGGGAGACGGTATGAATTGTGCTTAGTGAAGTAAGGCTTTGGCTGACAGTCGCTAGATACAGAGGAACCCGAGCCCACACCTGCCCCTACCATCGAAGAGCCCGTTATGGCCCCAATCGCGACCGAAGCTACAATCCCCGATACCCCCGTCGCAGAACCCAAGCCTGCGCCTGCCCCACGGAGAGGTGGACGTCCACCACAGAAGGCTCGTGGTCGACTTGGGCGGAATCAGTACTCAAGAGACACCATGCCCGCGACCAACGGCACTTCACCCAAGAACGACATCGCACAGTCTCCGCAAACGAACATGACAAACGGAGCGAGCAATGGGCATGACAGCAGCGATGGCACAGCCGGACAAAAACCTACCAAGACAAAGAATTGGCGGTTGCAAAAACTTTCCTGGAACGATATACGAAGGCCAGCCGGAGCTATGCAGAGCTACATAGCTCAACGACAGGTCGAGATGGCTACAGGGGAGAAACATGGAAGCCTCGCTCCGGCAGTCCAACCGGCAAACGGCGAGCTGACCCAAGAGCAGCAGAAGGACGAGGATACAGACCTGGCGAAGTTCAAGAACTTGAGCACTACACAGATGATGGACTTCTTGAGTCGGGATCTGGTGCATTGGCAGCAGATGATCACTGAGCCAACGGATAAGTCGCCAAAGTGACACGAGGATCACACAGCTCTCGATCTCGGCGGCGGCGTACTGCTCACTTGATTTTCTTTTACAAACACGGCGCATTCATCACATGTTGCATGAGCCCAATGGGTATGGCATACCAGCGGCATTTTCTTTACACATTGGCGTTTTCATCGGTCATTTACGGATACCCTCCACTTGGCTTTCGACGCCAGACTACCTCCTGGCGCACTCTCCTTTCACATGACTTCGACGCTATTTGTATCGAATCTTTTCTTATGTAGTATATATACTCCGGGTGTAACGAACCACGACTAGGCTAGAGCAATGCTCCCGTCGTCGCATCCTAATGTATACGAAAATAAGGTTCTCAAACAACTGCAGCGTCTTTGTCTCATCGTCACCAATTATCCTGTGATTTTGCGTCTTATCCTATCCTATTCTACTCTGAGCTACCGAGCTTTATCTCCAACACACCCATGACGGGGTTCGCCTTCAACAACTCCAGTATCGCCGGGAAGTTCTCATCCGTCACGACGGTATATTCGGGCCAGATCTTGCCATCCCGCGTCTTGGTATCCCAGTGTATTCTGAACTCTTGAATCGTCTCTTTGGGGCCGTCGGCGGCCTTGTGCTTCGCCATGACTGTGGTTTCATCGTTAGCGATAAGTCCCAAGCTGTCTGTCTGGCATGTGGTGTGGTCGGCTTCGACGTACATTCAGCGCAGTTGGGGCTCGAGGATATTGTAGTGGTGATCTGCGCGTTGAGCGACTTCAACGTGATCTTAGAGGACGTGTCGAGCAAGAGAAACTCATGGCGGTTGGAGGGTGGGAGCGTGAAGAGGAGGGGGAGGGACATTGTTGCTGCTGTTGTTGTGTTTTTGGTGTCAAGTCTGTTTGGATGCGTGTGTGTGCTTTAGAGAAGGACCTGGGAAGCCTCACAAGTCGTTATTACCACAAGACTGCGCTTTGCAGGTTTCATAGACTTCCAAGGTTGCATGCGTGGTACATGGATCCCGATTTACGTCATCGGCATGGGTCGCGCTCTGCCGTTGGACGCGTTGCAGCGCGTGGCTGACAGGGGTGTGTTTGCCCCGCTCTTCATCGAATTCTCGTCGTGGGTCTGGATGCGAACTATTGGAATCCTAAAGACGGAAGAAGAACACGCTGCTTTGAACGAGCGTGATTTCCGCGACAGAACTATCATTGCTATCATATACTATGCAAGCACTCTCTTGGCCCCATCTATGGATCACGGATGATAATGCAGGTACTTCAAACCTCGATGCGAAATCTATCTACAACCCCTTAATCTTCTCCTCTAATGCACGTTTGATAGCTGAAGTCTTGTTAGCAAAATTCTGATCAACAATCAGGCCAAGAGATGACTTACCGTTGCAGCTCTCATTCGCATCGCCAAACAACATCTTCGTATTCTCCATGAAGAACATCGGATTGGGTACATCAGCGTATCCACTCGCCATACCCCTCTTCATAATAACAACCTGCTTGCTCTTCCACGCATGCAGCACCGGCATACCCGCAATCGCACTACCAGGCTCCAGCGCGATGGGATTAACGGTATCGTTTGCGCCGATAACGAGGGTGACATCCGTATCCGGGAAGTCGTCGTTGATCTCGTCCATCTCGAGGACGATATCATATGGAACGGATGCTTCAGCGAGGAGCACGTTGCACTGTCCTGGCATGCGGCCTGCGACTGGATGAATGGCAAAGCGCACGTTGATGCCTTTCGCACGCAGACTCTTGACAAAGTCGGCGAGTGCGTACTGCGCTTTCGACACGGCCATGCCGTAACCGACGACGATGATGACGTTTTCTGCGTTGACGAGAGCTTCGGCTGTTTCTTCGGATGTGGTCTTCGTTATCTCGCCCTCGACCTTGGTCTGGGACTGGACTGTGGGAGCTATACCGCCGAAGAGCACGTTGGTAAGGCTTCGGTTCATGGCAACGCACATAATATATGAGAGAATTGAGCCTGATACCCCGATGAGGGCGCCTGCAGAGAAAGAGGTACGAAGTCAGTATATGTCTCACATGCATTTCATACAGCCAGGACTTACCAACACTTGTTAGGAGTGGGTTATCCAGCATGAAACCCTCGGCTACTAATGCGAACCCGGAATATGCGTTGAGTACTGTGATAACAACTGGCATATCTGCTCCGCCAATTGCAGCAGTGGTCGTGTAGCCTTTGACAAAGGACAGAGCCGCATTACCAACGAGGCATGCAGCGCCAATGAGAGGTGCGCCTGGCGCATAGGTCAAGAAGGCGCCCATGGTTGCTACGTTTGCTCCAAGCAATGTGCTGTTGATGAGATGTCGGCCAGGCAGCGCCAGAGGTTTCGAACTCATCTTCGCAGCTAGCTTGAGAAAAGCGACAATTGATCCGGTAAATGTAACGCCGCCGATGAGAACACCAAGGTAAGCGGAAACCATATGAAGAGTTGAAATATCGCCAGAGTGACCCAGGACGCTACCGATACTCGTGAGTACAGCAGCGAGACCGACGACCGAATGCAGTGCCGCGACCGTCTGAGGTAGCGAGGTAGGTGTGATCCTTCGTCCGATCATCAATCCAGCAACAGTACCCACCGTAGCGAGACCAGCGAACTGGGTGAGAACATCAGAAGAAAAGCCGACGGCAGCCAGTGATGCGAGAAAACCTGAGAAAACACCAAGTATGCCCAAGAAATTGCCGCGACGAGCTGCATAGTGGTACGAAGTCAGTAAACGTCTCACATGCACTTCGTACAGTCGTGACTTACCTGTTGTTTGCGACGCAAGTCCTGACAACGAGGTCACGCAGAGAACACTACTGACAAGGTAACCTGCTTGGACCAGACCTGCCATGCCAGTGGAAGCTGCTGCGATGAAACCGCCACCAAACAGAGCTGCGGGTACTGCATAAAGCCAGGGATACTCTTTGGGATCAGTAGGTCGTCTGAACATATCAAGCATACGCTTAGATATAACAAACCCGCCTGAGATGTTAACGAAAGCCAATAGAACCGACAAGGCTCCGAGGGTTTGCGGGATGGTCTCGGGCAGATAGCCGCCACCCATGGCGTACAAGCCGCCAACACCGATGATACCAGAGATGGCGTTCGTTACGCTCATAAGTGGAGAATGCAAGGCAGGTGCAACGCCCCAGACCACTGTAAGTTATTAGCATGAACAGTAAGATATCTTAGAACAGCCAAAGCGTAGTTCGAAAAATACATACTAGTAAGAAGTTAGCAAAATATTCTGAAAGCTATTCGTGGCGGCTACTTTACCCTCGGTATCCGATCAGACTGGCGAGAGAAAAAACGAAAGCTTGGGACATGAACAGTGGGCCCGTGAATTTACCTAGAGTCAGTGCAGCAGTCATACCAGCCGTCACGCTAGCTACCTGTCGAGACTGCGTTTGCCATGGTGTCAGAGCGACAGCGTTGGCAATTTGATCTGCCGGCGAAGGTGCGGGTTTGGCTTGAACTGGTGGAGGGGCTGGACGCGGAGCTGGTGGAAGGATCTTGCCATTGTATGTGACAATGGCTCCGCGAGTGACTTCGTCAGTGAGATCGACATCATAGTACTTCTCCTTCTTGTCTTTTGGGTTGAGCGAAAGCAGGAACTTGGTGACGTTGTTGGAGTACAGAGTTGACGACTGGGTGGGTAGACGGGATGGAAGATCGGTGTATCCTGCACTCGCGGTAAATATTGGATCACCTCAGGGAGTCACAAAAATATACCTATAACGGATACTCCTTTGTAGTCCACCAGCTTTCCCGGCTGCGTAGCTTCGCAGTTACCGCCAGCTTCAGCCGCTAGATCCACGATGACGGAGCCGGGTTTCATTGCGCCGAGCATGGCCTTGGTGATAAGCTTCGGTGCGGGCTTGCCTGGGATCAGGGCAGTGGTAATGACGATATCAACCTCTCGGCACTGGTCATAGAACAGTTTCATCTCCGCCTCGATGAACTCCTTGGACATTACTTTGGCATAACCGCCAGCTCCGGAGCCGTCCTCGGCGATATCGACTTCAATAAATTCCGCACCTAGAGATTGGACCTGCTCACGTGCTGCAGATCTAGTGTCGAAACCACGAACAATGGCACCCATACGTCGAGCCGTCGCGATTGCTGCAGAGATAGAGATACGAAGTCAGTATATGTCCCACATGCACTTCGTACAGTCAGAACTTACCACTCAGACCCGCGACACCGGCACCGATTACGAGGACCTTGCAAGGAGGGATCTAGCAACGTTTAGCAGGGGTCTAAACTGGATGAAGTGACGATCACCTTTCCAGCAGCAGTCACTTGGCCAGTCAAAAAGCGACCAAAGTGATTAGACGCTTCCAAAACGGCTTTGTAACCCGCAATGTTCGCCATTGACGACAGTGCATCGAAAACTTGCGCTCGTGAGATACGCGGAATCATGTCCATTGCGAATGCAGTGGCCTTGCGGGAAGCAATTCGATCAACGGTCGGCTTGTTCTGCATCGGGTACAGCATTGAGATGACGGTTGCGCCCTCTCGGATGGCATCCACTTCGCTGTCTTTTCCATCGATGCTAAGGGCCCGGACCTTGAGCAGGATATCACTCTCTGAGAAGACATTCCTGCGGTCGACTGTCTGCGCGCCAGCTTGCTCAAACGCTTCATCCGTAAACTGCGCAGCACTGCCAGCTCCACGCTCGATGAGAATGCGCGAGAAGCCTTTCTTGAGTAAAAGTTTCACGTTCTGCAAAATAAGGTTGTCAAGTAAGTACGTGTCTCAAAGACAGCGAATGCGAGAGGAGACTATACCTGTGGCGTAATCGCGACCCTTCGTTCGCCAGGATAGCTTTCCTTAGGTACTCCAATAGTGAGGTTGGAATAAGGACCTGCGGTGAACGGCGGGGTGCTAGGTAGCTCCTCGTCGTGCGGATCCGATGCCTGCCCGGATGCATACCGCGCGACAGCGGTAACCTGCGAGACATGGTGCTGCAGGGACAGCGCGGGTGGGTGCGGGCGGCTAAGTCCCCGAAGGCTTGTTGTAGCCAAAGTATGTTTTGAAGAACGATCACCACGTTCCAGCAGAGGTGTTGCTTTCAGACCAGAGGTGACAGCACACTGCTTCAGAGTAGCAAGTAAGCTGCCCCGCTGCGGGCGAAGAGCAAGCGCCCTACGGCCAGCGAGACAGTTCAGAGAAGGACTCATGCTGTCTCGAATGAAAACGAGCAAAGGGTGAAGCTGGGAACCCGCATCTGTTGGCGATTTCCAAAGTTGTTCCGAAAGAAGGCACGACTAGCAGCTGAAAGAAGGCCAGAATGCAGTGTGAGTGAGCACCACAAGTGCCACGGGTTGCGAGACATGGTGGTACAATAAGGCGGTACCTTTGGGCCGCGTTTCCCTTTCTCGTGTTTGTGTTCTGCCGAATTAAACACGACCGCGCAGCGCTTCCCCGCACTCCTCCACTCTGCCCTGCATGAACCCAGCCCAGGGTTCGCGAGCCCAAGAGACATATTATAACGCACTCCTCTCCTCCTCATGCAATCACGACGGTTTCCATGCGAAAAGAGGTGCGTCTTGATCGCTTGAAAATAAAGTTTGCAATCCAGAACGTTACGGGTGTTTACTCAAAACGTTGTCTCCTCACGGAAGATGGGTGAAGGTTCCCCGCTCGTGCCAGGCGATCACGCGCTGTGGGGCACAGACCCAACCGTTTGGTATATCTTCCGTTCGAAGCGCGCTTGGTGTCTTAGGTTCCGTCCACCGACTCATGCTGTTAGCACCTCGTTCAAGAAAATTCGATACCCTGGAGCCTATGTGGACTTCATATTATTAACTTTGCATGTATGCATCTTGATGTATGCTGCAGACCTGTTCATGTGTTTTGTTGTATGAGGTGTTATAGACATCGCAGCGAATGTAGTGAATCACACAGTCGATCGACGCGCACACGTGGAGGGGTCTTCGAATACACAGGGCTGACTGTTCAAGCATCATCGTCAAAATCGTCGTACGATCGATTGGGATCTTTTGAGCTAGGCTAGCAGATGAGTTGGTTCATTCAGGACGGTGCTGAGATGGGCAGAGGAAGGCAAATTCAAAGAGCACATATTGTTACATTACAACTACCAAGATGCTAAAATCATACTAAGGAGTGACTATGCGACGAGCTAATGCTCAATGTAAAGCCAAAGAGTTATTTACAGAAACGAAGGAGAGTATTAGTCATGATATCCACCGTCAACCATCACCATCTCGAATTTTGGTGCGCCCATGCGATGCAGACATAAGTCGTTGTTGTTGTCGGAAGAGCAGCGAGCGTTTACTCGTCGCGCTTGTTCTTGAAGTAAGACCAGCCACCCCAGTTGAAGCTGGCGTTGACATCGACGTCCCAGGTGAAGGACTTCTGGCAGCCCCACTTGGAGGTACCACCGACGCTGATGTCGAGGTTGGCCTGGGTGGCAAGGAACTTCTTGGTGAAGAGACGGCAGTGGGTACCGAAACCCTTGCCGTCCTTCTCGAGGTAAGCAGCCTGGAACTGGACGCAGCCACCCTTGTTCATGCCGAACATGGAGAGCCATGCGCCAATGATGCCGTGCTTGCGGTTGACCTCGTTCTGCTTCTGGGCGTAGGCAGCGCAGAGAGAAGGATCGAAAGGACCGGGGAAAGTAGTCTGACCCATGCAGTAGGGCTGCTGGTTGTGGAGCTTGTGGCCGCAAGATTGGGGCTTGCTGCAAGAAGGAGGAGTGGGAGGGTTGTAGGTACCCTTGTTGTAACCATTGGAACCGACGATGACGACCTGTTAGAGATAAAGTCAGTATATGTCTCACATGCACTTCGTACAGTCAGAACTTACCTCGAATCCATCCTGGCCCTGGCCGACGTTGGTAGCAGACTCCTTCTTGACATCCTGTCCCCAAAGAGTGCACTTGAAGCGTGTAACAGAGTCGGGCTTGTCGCAAGAGCACTGGCGCGGGTTCCACTTGGGGTCACGCTCGATGTACAGGTTGAAACCAGTGCAGGTGGAGGTAGAGTCGCACTTGGCGGCGCAAGCAGCAGTGTCGTAGCTGGTAAGCTCGTAGTATCCGAGGTAACCGCTGCCCTCAACGGAAGCGCTGAGGTCAACGAAAGAAGAGGTGTAGCCAGATGGCGACTTAGCACTAGTAGCCATCTTGTGGTAGACCTCGTTGTTCTTGAAAGCATCGGCAGTGTCGGGGGTGGTAGGTGGGCCGTAGGCGTTGGGCTGAGCAGCACATGGGTCATCGGGGTTGATGAATCCACAGTAGGTGCCGACCTCGATCTGAGTAGCACAAGCGGGATCGGCAGTGAACGCGAAGGTGTTGGTCCAGCTAACCGGGGTGCACGAAGATGGTGCAAGGTTGGTAGAGGACGGGTTGCCCTCAGGTGCGGCAGTGGGGGCAGGAGCAGGAGCCTTGGTAGGAGCGGGAGCAGGAGGGTTGTTCTGCTGGTTCCAGTTCCACCAGAAAGTAGGGTCGCGTGCCTCAAGCTGGGCACCAACGGTCCTCTTTGCCTGCTGAGCAGTGGCAGCGCCGGTAGCAGCAGCGGCGGCAACGTCCTGAGCCTTGGCCTGGTTGTAGGCCTGCTCACTGACGATGCCTGCCTTGGGGCCCTGAGCGAGGTTGTTGGTCATGGAATCGAATTGGTTGACATCGAATGCCTGAGGAGCAGGAGAAGCGGCCACGAGGGCAGCAGCCCCGAGGAAGAGAGAGTAACGCATATCGAAAGATCGAATAGAAGAGTAGCGAAAGTAGTGTAGGAGATTGTAGTAGTGAAGGACCGATGCTGATGAGCTGATGATGAGTTACTGCCCAGTGTGCCAGAGGGTCTTATATACATAAGATGCACATAGTCATGCCCTGTCGACCTCGGTGGTTGACTACTGATTTGAGATCGATGTCATGGGTGGAGACGAAAACATGGCCGGTAAGTTCGACCTGTCTTCCTGAAAGAGTTGGCGGCAGTGCCTGGAAACAATAGTCCACCAAACTTTAGCCTAGCTCCGGGTGAACTGTCGTGGTCGCCAACGCCAGGAACGTGCAGCACGCATGCAGGTACCGAGGCCGCCACCAATGAGAGCCCAATGGCAGGCTGAGTCTGGACCTGATAGGTGCAAGTCTTATCAGCTCAGCTCGTCGCGAAATGACGAGGTCAAAGGCTTTGCTGTATCTCCCAAGGCCATGGTGTTGCGATGCGATGCTATACAAATCTTTAGGACAGTACTACAGCAAAGATCGACACACCAGAAATGATGCCGCTGCAGGTATCGACGACCCGAGGCTTTGCATCACGGTCAAAGCGAATCGCTAAGCGAAAGCTTAGTTTATTTTTGATCCCGACGTCGTCCCGAAGGGTTCTAAAGGCCCACCTATTCGGTTAGCTTAGAGACTACTGTTGGACATACCAATAGTCCGCCTCCAGGGAAGCAGACTTGCGCGCGCAGAAGTCCCGATCAGCTCATCAGGGGTAGACTGTATGCGTGAACGTTTCAGCGGTGTTGATCTTTTCAGCCTTGCCTAAAGCGACTTCTTTGTTCGTACCGTCGTTTACTCCCGTTGGGTGATCCTCCGCGATGGATTTCCTCAGATCTTGTGCTAAGCATTGGTACTTGCATCGATTTGCACATGGATGGCACATTGCGAGTAAAGACGCGATCGCTCCGTAATTGCTGAGATGCCACCATTACTATGCTTCTCTGCCCCCGCGGCGATGCGAGGCACGTGAGCGCAGTCGGAATCTGAGTTTCTTCGGCCAGGAGCTAGATGGCTGAGCTAGCCATCTTCATTCTCTGGAGATGTGACGATGTGGATGCTCGCGTAAAGATGCTGTCGATGGACGTCGCAGAGGTCATGCAGGGAGTCGCTGCGTACCATGGGACTCTCAGGGGCCCGAATCCCCTACCCTCTCTTGGCTGGTGCCCGGCAGATCTCGCGTACCCGCTCGTACACCGGTGTATACGCTGCTCGGCCATCCTTCTGAGCCGGGGACCGAATATGACGGTATACGGCGAGTATCCTCATACTGGATCCCTTGTCGTCTTCGCAGTCTGATGTTGCGGCCTTGCTGTTCATCTGCCTGATCAACACTGGGGATGGCGTTCGTGCGTCTCTACACTATCGATAGTTGCTAGACGGGAGTTGTTCCCAGGGTCACCCCACGATGCACTGCTGTGCGCTGGCGGGATAATCGACGATCTAGCACAACTGTTGCTAATCCTGTGGTGATAGATTCCAGGAGACAATGAAAATCCGGTGTGGATCGCTCCGGAACACACGGAGTGGAGACTGCCTAAACGGCTCGGTCGATCTCGCTAGCGCCCTAAGGTTTGGCTAGGCCCTGGCATTGCTCAGCCTCACCACGCTTCTACTCCTACCGCGACTGAGCGTCAACGGCTGCCCTGCCACCATCTCTCAACTAAGTCCGTCTACTTTTCTCAGCTGTCTTGCCAATGCTCTGGCCCCTCAGTGTCGTCTGTGGCTGGACGTCAGGCATGTCCCGCCATCTTGGCTTGCGCCTCCGCCACGACTTTGTCATCGAATACGTCGGATTAATCGCGGGGTACCAAACACATGCTCACAAATAACTCAGCGACTCATGCTGTAGGCCTGCTCGTTTGTTCAGCTGGATCTAGGTTTCTGCAGAGTCTGAATCAAAAACGCCACCGCAAATAGACCAACTCACTCTCGGTATCGCGAATGCGAAACGTAAACAAGCCGAGCGCATGAGCCACTTAGGCCTCCTGAGCCACACCTCGGCCGGAGGCATCTCTATACGGTGTCGCTGCCGAGATCCGCCTAGCCCACTGATGACGGCGAAGGGGTTTTCTTCGGAGTTAACCAACCGTAGCGGCCATTGCTCAGCGCAATAGCGAAGATGTACCCTCTCTTCCATGCGTGATGATCGACGCCCCGGAGCGCATTGTCGTCATCGTTTTGGTAGATGAGATCGCAGGATCTGGGTATTGGGTACT